TTATAATTGTGGTTGTTGAGCATCATAAACGCTTTAGTAATGTTAAAGAAAAGTTGTGAAAAATGCATGCAATTTTTTTGTTTGTATTCATATTTTTTATGTTGCAAGTGTAATTTAGTTTTGATATCACACTCTCTACACAACACATGTCTTTCAAAAGACTCGGTGAACCATGTCTTTTCCTTCGGATCCTTATTTTGGTTTGTATTAAGTATTATGGGATTATAAGCACCAACATTGTCGATTGTTGAGAGCTTGAGCGTAAGATCCAATTTTTTAAAAATGATTGTTGATGTGACCCCTAAACTCTACTTCGTGATAGGTTTTTGGGAGTTCGGTTTTGTTCACATCCAAAACAAATGGACAGGAGTTTCTGATCCTGTAAAAAATACTCTACAAGATAATATGAAATTAAGAAATCGTTTTCTCTGCCAAAGAAAGAAGAAGGTTATAGACTATTCTCGTTTTTCTTTTTTGGCCGACAGTTATGAATCATTATGAATAGAATATTGAAAAGGATATACCGAATTAATGATAATTATACAAAGAGAAAAATTTAATAAATGGGATAATTACGAAACTGAATAAGGGGATTTACGGTTCAGGATGCTGAAGTATTTGCATAAATGTACTAAATTTCACAAAAGACTTATTAGACAATTTTGTATTAGGTAAAGAAAAACAAATAATAGAGTGGTAGGGAGAGAAATTATCTGCTAAGGATAAGTGGGAGCTACTAGTAGCCGACATGTTTTGGATAGTGATAAAATATTGGATACTTGAAAATGGAGAACAAACATAAATACACCTAAAACTATTAGGGTTGTAAAAACGATAGATATTTAAACTATGTGAAAAAAGCATTTTATCATTGATAGACGCCAGAGGAAAGTTACATTGTACCTGAGGTGTTTTCAAGAATCACTCACAAGTCAGATGTGTATAGCTATGGAAATGTTAGGTATTGGAGCAAGAAAGAAAGAAATAATTGAAACCACCAATTCCAACGCTAGTTCATTTTACTTTCCGGACTGGCTTTGTAAGGATATTGAAAATGGAGAACAAACATAGATACACCTGAATTTTAAATTTAATTATTTTTTTGGTTTTCAAAAAAAAAATTATGTAGGGGTGTAAAAACGATGGATATATTATATACTTGGGTTAAAATTGGTTTGTTGGTTTAACCAAACCAAACCAAAATGTTACATGAGATAAATAAGCTGTGTTAAGCTTTTGGTTCGATTACAATCTCATTCCGGTTTAGTTCTTATCTCAATTCATGTTAACCATTGGTTTGTTGGTTTTTGTATCCGAGACATTAGTAGTATGTACCGATCATTTTGGCCATTGGAAAAAATCAATCAAACACACAAATATTGTCTTTTTATCTTCTACTCTCTGTTCATCATCTTCCACCTTGAATCTCGATGAGTTCTGTTTCCGATCTATCCCCTAATCTTGTTTAGCCGTAACACTAAACAAAACACGATTTCTGGAGATGTATTTTCGTGTCACCACCACCAAGAATCATGCGATTTGAAAATTTTAGCTAAAGTTTACGACTATGTTCTCAATCTTTGCTATTTCGCTAAAACTTGGCTGATTGCCTTGGTATTATATTATGGTTTGCAAGGATGAGATTTTGAGATAATCTAAATTTCATGATTAATTAATTAATTAAATTTTTTTTTTTTGGGGAAACCAATTAATTTAAATTTATTTGTGATAAAATACACATAGATTTTAGAGATGGAATTCATTAATTCAATCATTCAAGGAAGAAGATAAAAAAAAAAAGTTTTGTCAGGCCAGATCGTAGCTTCAAGTAAATAGCGTTTGTACGGTTAGGCGAAACTTCATGGTACGTAAACCAAATATCAAAAAGAAACATTTGAGGAACAAAAATCACGTGTCCACACAAAGACACAAAGTCAATTAGGACAAGACAAAGGGTTGCTTAATCTAGTCGTGCATTTACATCATATAATACGTTACATACTGATACAATTACGAAAATACCCTTTGATCCTTATCAGATTTGACCTTCACACCACCCAATTGCGGAGGAAGCTTCCCGGCCACCACCGCGCAACCGCCTCTGCCTTTAAATTATTATTCCCACAAATATTCAAACCCGTGTTTTAACCGATGAACAAACCAAGACTCGTCTCCACAACCATATAATACTCCTCTCTCTATATATATAACCTTCGTCTTAGGAGGAATTTTATTGGAAACTCATTTTGAAACCCAAAATTTTACTTTGAGAGAACTTTGAAAAAAAAATCAAGAAATGACTCTCGCTAAGACCAAACAATCTCCTTTGGCAAGACTGTCCAAGAAATTCTCCCGGAGGACATCAGAATCCTCCTCAGGGAGACTTCAAACACAGGAAGACGAAGCAAGAAGCAGTAGCAGTGGAGGCAGCTCGTTGAATGTTGACGAGCTAAGAACCGTATTTGAGTACATAGACACAAACTCGGACGGGAAAATCTCCGGTGAGGAGTTACAGAGCTGCGTTGGCCTCTTGGGAGGCGCGTTGTCTTCACGCGAGGCGGAGGAAGTCGTCAAGGTTTCGGACATGGACGGAGACGGGTTTATCGATTTTGATGAGTTTGTGAAGCTAATGGAAGGAGAAGACGGTAGTGATGAGGAGAGGAGGAAAGAGCTGAGAGTGGCGTTTGGGATGTATGTTACGGAGGGGGAAGAGTTTATCACGGCGGCGAGTTTGAGGAGGACGCTGAGTCGACTCGGAGAGTCGTGTAGTGTTGATGCGTGTAAGGTTATGATTGGTGGGTTTGATCAGAACGGTGATGGAGTTCTTAGCTTTGATGAGTTTCTTCTCATGATGATGCGATGAGATCATAAAAGCATTTGGG